TTGCTGAGGACCATCTTTACCCAGGGGAATGAAACCAAGTATCTCAGGAGCCAGGTGAGGCATGGACCAGGGAGAGGAGGCAGGATTCCCCAGCCCATCCCTGTCAGCTCCTTGAGCCCTGAAGGTGGGCTCTGACCTGGACATAGAGGGTCCTGAAGCTGAAACCCTTGTGCTCAGTGAAAGAACCTGCCAGTATGGGGCTGTGCCAGGAGCTGTTAAAAGGTGTTCCTCAGAAAGGGCCTCCTCTGCAAGGGTCTGGGAAACACGTCAGGAAAGATGAGCCAGCTTCTGGCTGCAGGACTTCGGGGAGCCTTGAAAATGTTCACGTGCACCTCTGGGCCCACTAGTAGGGAGGTGGATGCAGTTTACCCAGCTTTTTTGGCTTGGCACCTTCATGCACTAGCATCTTTGTGGCATAACTGTTGAACTGACTGGCCCTGCAGGTAGCCCGGGGTGTGGTGTGAAACACATTTGGGGCGTAGCTGCCACTTCCTCCCCAGCAGGAACAGAACGTGGCCCGGTGATAACTGTGGGGTTTGGTTGGCAGCTAAAGGCTTGTGGCTGTACACACAGTAATGCGTGTGAGTCTGGTCCCTCTACTTACTAGCCAGGGTCACTGTTCTGCACAACTCCAAGGAGCACTATTCTCACTGTAGTCTATGAAACGGCACCTCTGGAAGTTGCACACAACCTGTGCGGCGAACACGGTAGTCCTGCTCCCAGCCCTCACTCATCGCGGTTGTCTGCCGCAACGGCCTCTCTCCTGACTTCCTGCCTCTAGTCTGCCCCCTCTGGTGTCACCTACACCCCTCCTCTGCGTAATCTCCCCAGTCCTTCCCTCCTCCAAGTCCCTTCTCCCCAGAACCAATAGCCAGCGTAGTCCACAAGTGCCCTTAGTTGTTCAGGGGCCCCGGGAGTGGAATCCGGAGTCTGAGATGGAAGGGCTGTGTGGTCTTGGGCAAATCACTTAACCACTCTGGGTAACCCCATACTGTTATCACTTATCCTCATTTGTAAAAGGGGGATAAAATACCTTTATTAGTCTGTTGCTTATAACAAAATACACAGAACCTTTATTAGTCTGTTTCTGTTGCTTATAACAAAATACACAGAACTGGGTAATTTGTAAGAGAATGAAATTTATTGCTTACAGTTTCGGAGGCTGGGAAGTCCAAAGTTCATCCAGTGGTGTCAACAGTGACCCAGAGGTCTCACATTGCAAGATGGTGGAAGCAGAGAGAGAGAAAGACAGTGTTCTCTCTTCTTTTAAAGCTCTCAGAACCATGCCCCTGACCACCATTATTAATGCATTCACTACTGCAGGGTCCTACAATCCAATTACCTCTTCAAGGCCCCACCTTTCAATTACCATAAATAGGATTTCCCACCCTCTTAACAGTCACAGTGGGGGCCAAGTTTCTAATACCTAAACTTGGGAGATAATTCAAGCTTCAATGAGTTTTAGGGGGACATAATTTGATCCACTATGTTCCACCCCTGGCCCCCAAAAACTCATATCCATGTCAAATACAAATACATTCATTCCACCCCCAAAGTCTTAACTTGTTTCAATTCAAAAGTCCAAAGTTCAAAGTCCCATCT